AAAAAAAAAAAAAAAAAAAAAAGCCTACAACATAAATATCTAAAATATCCTTGAGTTAACAAGAAAATCATAAAGATTTAGGAAACAGATGAATAACAGTGAAAATATAACCAAGAAAGTTATGAAATAGATCTAAAGGAATAGAGAAAATAACGTTTTTAAAATACTAAGATATTTCAATTACATAATACAGCTTAAACAAAAAAAATGAATATATAAAACAATGAAATATGATTAAATTTAAATAAACCTTGAAGCTGATTCTTGCATATATTATACATGTAAAACTATAGCAAAACTGACAAAAATAATAACTAAAAAGAAGCAAAATTTAAACAAGATAGTACTTTATAATAATCAGAATGGCCCAAATCAGAAAGGTTGTGAAACACTAACAAAGTGAAAATTCACACAGAAATTATGAAAAGCAATACAGCAGTAGGTAAAATATGGACAGACACTGAAGAACTAAGTGTACAGCAATATGGGCAGGTGTTAAAAGTCAGAAAATAAGTTATTGGAGGTAGCACACCCTACACATTAGCAGTTTTCAGACATTTGACCTCATAACCATTCCGAAATTAATGAAGGCCCCAAATAATGCCTGCCCTTTACATGTATAGACATTGTGCCTACATGTTAAGTTTGTCTATGATGTGCATGCCTGATGTCTGCAGAGGCCAAGGGGGCATCTGATCCCTTGTAATTATGGGCTGTCAACTGGGTGCTGGGAATCTAGTCCCAGTCTCTGGAAGAGTGGCCAGTACTCTTAACTGCTGAATCATAACTTTAGCTCCCCACCCCGAGCCAATTTTTAATGGCTGCATTAAACAATATTTAATACTTTAGAAACCAGAGCTGAAAACTTTATCTACAAGATTCACTAGTCATAAAATCATGCCATACGTGTATACTCTGTAAAACTGTACTGTACACTGGTAATGAGAAAAAGATCACACCACAGTGCTCCAAGATCTTCTTGAAGGACAATCTTAAACTCAGAGATCCACCTGCTTCTGCCTCTGGTCCATTTTTTTAATTAATTAATTTATTTATTAAAGATTTCTGCCTCCTCCCCGCCACTGCCTCCCATTTCCCTCCCCCTCCCCCGATCAAGTCCCCCTCCCTTACCAGCCCAAAGAGCTGGTCCATTTTATTTTTTCAGATTTATTTTACTTATATCAATGTTTTTCTTGCATGTATATGTCTACACCAAATGCAAGCCCAAAGAGATCAGAGGAGAGCATCAGATCCCCTGGAACTGGAGTTAGGGATATTTGTGAGCACCTACTTCTCCAGTCCTGTTTCTATCTTCTCAATGCAATAGAAAGTGAGGTGAGAGGGAAGAGGTACTAAAACCTGTTAAGAACATAAGTAAAGCTATAAAATATTCACATTTTTAAGATGCTACAGGTGCTGGCAAGACAGCTCAGTGGGATAAAAGCCTTGAGTACCAAGTTTGATTTCCAGATTCTGCATAAAAGGTGGAGAAAGTTGACTCCTGAAAGTTGTTCATTGACCTCTGAACCAAAGAAAACAATTTTTTTTTTAAAAAAAAAGAAGTAACAGTACAAAGGTTTTTACAACTTTTAGGCAACTCACCAAGTTGTGATTCCATGCAGGACAACTCTACCTACTTTTATGATTGTTGAAAATCACTACTATTAGAAAAAAACACCTGCAGGTCTTATTTGACCTAAAGGTCTCTTATTTGATCAAATGCTTTTTCAAAAAGTTTTTCTTCTTTTATTTCTATTATTCTAAAGTCCTTTCATTTGAATATAGATACATATAACGTTTTCCCAAAGGACAATCAATAAATATATGATCTGGGGCTTGAAAAACAATTCTTCAGTTGGATGGTTATTGCTCTTCCAGAAAACCTGTGTTTATTTCTCAGTACCAATGCCAGAAGGTTCAAAGATCTAATAAGAACCACACGCACACAAATTTTAAAAAAGTAAACACACAGCTTGTTGAACATATCCTCCTAGGCAGGGTATAAACAAGATTTCTTTTTCACTGTCTTATAAACTTCCACCCAGAGCCTAGATTGTTCCCTTTGAGGCTAGTATGATCCCTTACTTTGGCTAAGTTTCTTACACACTGAGGTCTTTTCTTCACTCTGGTTGTATCTGCACTCTGTTTCTATAAATACTCTTGGTTTTTCCATTTGATTCCTGTTCTTGCTTTGAACAATATTATCTTTCCCCAAATCTGGGTTTTTATCAAGACCTTACAATGCCTTTGAGCTTTGCTGAAATTGTTATATGATGGTCCTTATAAAAAAATGAAGTCAGTTCAGCCAATACCATTGAATCCCAGTTTCAGTTAAGCCTTGTTATTATTTTAACTAAATTACTAGTTTCCTGGAAAAATAATGTGATGAGATCATATTATAATAAACTTTTATTTGGTAAGTCATCTTACGGACTCAAAATCAAACAATTTACTTCAGCAACAGAAAGTAAAATTTCAATCAATCTCCCCCATCAAAACCCTGCTCCATAACTGAAGTCCAAATCCCATGAATTACATTACTAAAGGGGTTGGGGGAGACACTAAACTTCCACAGGAAGACTGTATAAACTTGTCATCAGTTAAGTACATATTAGACAATATTCAAATACCATACTCAAAAGTACAACCCAGTCCCTAAAACTACCTGAAAAATCTAAATTTAATAGGAAATTTTTACTTAATTAATCTCAGAAAATTATCATTTCAAGTATGTAACAATACTAGTTACATTATATAAACTTATAAAATCCAAAGCCAGTAGGCAAGTTACCAGTATTGTTGTAAAAGTTTTTAAAATCCATTTAGCTCTGTTTTAAAACAAACATTCTGCATTGGAATCTTCAGAATTTTCTAGTATCTTGAATATCCCTGTTTTCTCTTTAATCGGTCTTGAGGCCTTCATTTGATCTAAGAGAGAAACATTAGGACGCATACATTTTTTTAAAGACATAATAAAATTTTTTAAAAATCATAAGAACTCTCTAATATGATGCTGAAACACAAGTCCTCTCTCCAAAATATAAAAAATCCATAGAAATGTGGGATACTCTTGCATTTACCCATAGAGCTCCCTGTAACACTGTCTTTATTACAGCTCCAAACAGCACAGAGGAAACAATATGATGCCTCATTTTTGCTGGTCCAAATCTATATATTTAAAGATCTTTATTATGAAAGGGGACAGATCAGTTTAATATGTAGAAGTATTCATGGTTATAATTTCAAGACAGATGTTTGATTTTTAAGTCTCTAACAAAAGAGAAACAGCAAGGAACAGGACTTACTAAATGTTAATGTGGGAAATCTGAACAGAGACACAAAGAAATAAGCAGAGTCGAAGGAGACTGGTGTGGGAAGTCCTTCTGTACATGTGCTGCTTTTATTGGTTAACGAATAAAGAAACTGCTTTGGAGGGCAGAATAGAGGTAGGTGGGGGAAAACTAAACTGAATGCTGGGAGAAAGAAGGCGGGGTCAAGAGATGTCATGTAGCTTCCACTGGGAGCAGGCAAGCCTGAACCTTGCTGGTAAACCACAGCCACATGGCAATATACAGATTAACTGAAATGGGTTAAATTAAGATATAAGAGCTAATAGAACAAGAAGCTAGAGCTAATAGGCCCAGCTGTGATTTAATTAATACAATTTCTGTGTGGTTACCTTGGGAGCCTGGGCAGCCAGGAACAAACAAGTGGCCTCCCTACAACAGAAGTGGTCATGTAGTTGCTCAAGGAGTAACATGCTGTACTGGTAAACCACAGACTCATGCCAATACACAGATTAATAGAAAAGGGTTAATTTAAGATGTAAGAGCTAGCTAGGAATATGCCTGAGCCATTGTCCAAACAGTGTTGCAAATAATGTAGTTTCTGTGTGATTTTTTTGGGTCTGGGAAGCTGGGAAATGAAAGGACAGTCTCTGTCTATAAAATGTTGTGAACAATTATGGCTGAATGTACTACACAAGGCTTCATTACACTATTTTCTGTATGTTTTAAAGTTTTCATTATGAAAAAGACCAATACTCACCTATGAGATCACTTCGATCTAATAACAATTCTAGGTCTTCATCACTAATGACCTTCTCTCTTGATCCTTTTACTTCCCTATAAAAACAACATCCAAATATGATATATCAGACTATACTTAGAACTATGCATTACATTTTTCTAAATTAAGAAATGCTGGAGGAGCTGGAGAAATGGGTCAGAGGTTAAGAGCACTGACTGATCTTCCAGAGGTCCTAAGTTCAATTCCCAACAACCACATGGTGGCTCACATCATACATGCAAGTAGAACACTTATCTACATGATATATAAATAAATCTTTAAAAGAGTAGGGATGGAGCAAGAAATGTTGCAGACTAGACAGGTAACTCAGGGGTTAAGAGTACTGATTGGTCTTCCAGAGGACCTGTGTGCCATTCACAGCACCCACCATGTAGCCAATAACTGTCAACTTTAACTCTAGTTCCAGGGGATCCAATGCCCTCTTCTTGCTTCTATAGGCACCAGATATGCACATACTGTAGATATACATGCAAGAAAAACATCTGTATAGATGAAATAAAAAGTTAGAAAATTTTGGGCCAACACAATGACTTAGTGGGTGAAGGTGCTTGCCACCAAACCTGATGACCTGAGCTTAATCCCCAAGACCCACATTGCAGAAGAAGAGAACCTAGCTGTGCTTTGACCTCCATACAGGCCCACCTATACACCTAGCTATATATATTATAAAATTTAGAGAAAACTTACCTTTCATAATCTCTAGATTTTAATAATTCCATTAATTCCTTAGGATCTAAGAAATTCTTAGACTGACTTAACCCAGACTGACCACCTTTGAAATGATCTGGAAAGGGAAATAAAATCAAAACAAACAAATCAACAAATTTATTCTATAAATTTCTTTGAAAGCTACAATCTATTACAAACCAGGAACGAGGCTTAAAATTTGAAAGAAAATTTAACATTTACTAATTATGTTTTATGCCATTTCATTCATGGGCCGATAACTTTCAAAAGATTTTTTTTTTCAGACTGTCATAAAAGAACAATGGAAAACCCCTTAGTTCTTTCTAGAAGTATAAATTTTTTTGGAAATTTAGAAAAGGTTTGATATTTACAAACAGATAAACACAGTCCCTCTATAAAAACCACATATTAACAATGATTCAAACAGCTTATTCATAATAAACACAATCTAGCTTATTCATAATAAACACAATCTGGGAGTATTTCAAATGTCCATCAACAAGTAAATGAACTACTAAGTTTAATAAAATTGCTCTAATATATAACATATAGATGAATCTCAAAATATAACAAAAACAGAAAAACAGCATAGCTGAACAGTGGAAAACTACTTAACATTTATGTATTTTATTATATGTATAAACTGCATTTCATTAAGTCTGTATTTTTATATTCCTTAATATTTTAAAATTAGTATCTTCAAATACTGCAAACAGACTTAAGAATACATAATCACAGATAAAAATCTATGTAAACTAAAACTAGGTTCAACATTTAATTATAATTTTATCAAATTTTTTAACACAGGTTAAAAATTTTTAAAGACAAGGCTCATTTTACTCACGCTGAAATTTTTAACTAAAACCTAAATTTTCTACCAAGTCAAATTAATTTTATCTCAAATCTAACCTGCTTTTCCATCAAAACTAGGTATGAGGGCCAACAAGTTTGATGATCTGAATTAAATGCCTGAAACCCATGTAAAGGTAGGAAAGAAACAATTCTAAAATTATCCTCTGACCACTATACCTGTGAGTGCATACACCCATATACATACAACCATACATAAACACAAAATAATAAAGACTATGAAGTTAAAAAATAGCAATGAGCCAGTAAGTGCAGGCAGAAAACTATTATAAAAAATTGCAGCCGGGCGGTGGTGGCGCACACCTTTAATCCCAGCACTCGGGAGGCAGAGGCAGGCAGATGTCTGTGAGTTCGAGGCCAGCCTGGTCTACAAGAGCTAGTGCCAGGACAGGCACCAAAGCTAGAGAAACCCTGTCTCGAAAATAAAAAAAAAAAAATTGAAATCCTAAGTTCAATTTTTCCTTAGGTAGCCACTGTGCTACTTAATAAAATTTTATGTTACATGAGTAAAAATAGAACTATCCTTGGGCAGACAGTGGTGGTGCACACCTTTAATCCTTCCTATCACTTGAGAGGCAGAGGCAGGTAGAAATTAGTTTAAGCTTGGTACATATAAGTGAATTCCAGCACAGTCAGTCAGGGATACACAGAGAAACACTGTCTTGAAACATTCCAAAAAAAAGGGGGGGGGGCTTCCCAAGAAATCTTGGAAAATAAGATATGAAGCTCCTTACTCATTTTCCCCTTCCAAAGAATCTATTCTACACTAAATGGAATTTGATATTTGATATTACTACTATGAAAACCATTGGCATCTAATATTCAGCATCTTGAAAGGTCTTAAGTTTTAAAGGTTTTGGTAAACAAATATCTTACCAGAAATATGCAAAGCATTATGTTAAGTTTTATATGACAGATTTGGGGACATTATACCAATGAACTCCCAAAGGTTCATTATTCTTGACCCTTTCCCTTAATAGTTATCTAATCCCTGAGTCTCTGTCTATGAACAGCAACTCAATGTATGCTGTCAGTAGCTCCAAATCCCCTATCACACATTTAAATCCTGTGTCATCAAGCTGTATTAGTTTTCTTTAGAAAGTAACAAAAACGGAAATTCTTAACACACAAAAACATCACTTACATGCAATGTTACCTGTAATAGCGCTTACAGGGCTGGAGAGATGGCTCACGTTTAGAGCACTGTCTACTTTTACAGGGGACCTGGTTTCAGTTCCCAGCACCTACATAGAGGCTCACAACCCTCTGTACTTCAGGTTCAGGTGGGTCAACACCCTTGTCTGGTATCCCTAAGCATTAAGCTTGCACATGGGGCACAGACATACATGCAGGCAATACACATATACACAAAAATAATAAAATTATTATAAACAAGTTAAAAACCATTTACTTTTATGGATGATAAGCTTCTCCAGTTTTCTCTTAGCAGCTGCTCTTTCCACAATTTTCTGATCAATAGTATTTGCAGTTACAAGGCGATATACAACAACTGGCTTTGTCTGACCAATCCTATGGCATCTATCTTGGGCCTGGAGATCAGACTGGGGATTCTTAAAGATGAAAAGAAAGGTACAGTTAGCAGAATCATGTTAAAATTAACTTAAACTTGTGGGGCAGTTGTAGCGCACACCTTTAACCACAGCACTATGGGAGCAGAGGCAGGTGGATCTCTGAGTTCAAGGCCAGCCTGAGTGAGTTCCAGGACAGCCAGAGATACAGAGAATTTCTGTCTTAAAAAAACTTAAAAATAAAAACGTAAACTTATGAAATCTTGGTAAAACAGTCAAGTAGATGATAAACTTTGAAGTGATTTTTAGATGCACTTTAAATTCCAGAAGGACTGCATCAGTTACCACTCAGACAGAACAGGTGTACAAATTTCTATGTAAATGCTCCCACAGGTTACAGAGAGATGGCTCAATGGGGAAAACCTAAAAACCTCAGTTTAATCCTCAGGTATAGTGGGATAGTATTTGTGTTTAAATAAATAAAGCTTGCCTGAAATCAGAAAGCAAAACAGCCAAAAGTCATCCTTTACAGGCCAGGGAGTGGTGGTGCATTCTTTTAATTAGGATCTCTGTGAATTCAAGGTCACCCTGGACTACGTAAGATTGAGTCTGTCTAAAAGAGAAGCAGAGCTCACTATGTTGAACCCCAGTATCTGTCTCTGGGACTTTATTATTCATGCTACAGGATTCACATGGTGAACTAACTCCTATATGTCGTTCTCTGATAGCTACTTGTCTTTCTCTCTCTCCTCTTACTGACTTACACACACACACACACTGAATGTGTTTCAAAAAAAATTATTTTTAAAGATTTATTTATTATGTATACAGTGTTCTGTCTGTGTGTATGCTTGCTGGCAAGAAGAGGGCCCCAGATCTCATTACAGATGGTTGTGAGTCACCATGTGGTTACTGGGAATGGAACTCAGGACCTCTGGAAGAGCAGTCAGTGCTTTTAACCTGAGCCATCTCTCCAGCCCTCAAAATTATTTAATACTCTGAAAGTATCTTATTTTTATAGGCAGAAAACTTGATGAAAAGTTCCTACCTGCAAATAGGCATTTAAATGCAATTGTAATATATGTAATAAAGGATAAAAACTTCAGAACATATAGTCAGTATATTGCTATACTTCTTACCCAATCACTGTCATAAATGATAACCGTATCCGCCGCTGTCAAATTAATGCCTAAACCACCAGCTCGTGTACTCACTAAGAAAAGAAAAACATCTGGATCCATGTTGAAACTGTATATCTAAAAGCAAAAGGAACATAAACATAAGCCATTAAAATAAAAAAAAAAAAACTTTAAAACTGACTGGGGTGGAAAGCATTAATTTTAAATACCACTGTCTTTTTCAAAACTAGGAAACAATTATAGTAGCTAATAAAATCTCTGCATGTATAAACTTTACTTTTCAAGCATTTATACTATACATGATATTTTTATTTTGTTAAAGCTATATGTCATACTCAGTAACAAAAGAAGTAAAAACAGTGAAAAAGATGGCTCAGCCAGTAAAGTACCTGCAAGATGATTTGAGTTCAGATCCCTGGCACCTATGAAAATGTCACTAACGACAGAGCTGGTGGAAGAAACTTAAATGGCAGAGACAGGCTGATCCCTGTAGCTCACCAGCCTGAGAGCCTAGCTAATTAATGAGCTCTATGCTCAATTGTTGTCTTGGTGCATGCATATGTGCAAACCCACACAACCAACATATACATAAAACAACACAAACACATACAAATAATGGAAACAGTGTAAGAAATGAGATGGATAGAAAGCTTGCTTCACTAGAAGGAGCGCACTTTCTGGGTTTATGGTAATTTTTAATCTCATTAGAGGTATGGAAAAAATTTTGCTCATGTCACTCAAAAACAACATTACATACTTTGCTTCATGATAAGTAACTCTTATCCTAAACCATGTAAAAGTCAACGAAGAATATGCAATTTAAACGCACAAGGATAGATAGATAGTCATGCACGGTGGTTCACACTTATAATTACAGCAGTCGGAAGGCTAAGTGCTCCAATATGAGCCACACTCTAGTTCAAAGCTGGCCAGGACCAAACAAACACTGCAATTATGTCACACAAAACATTGCCCAGCAAAAAGGCTCCAGGGTAAAAGGCTCTTGTCTCCAAACTTGACAACAAGAGTTCAATCCCTGTAACCCACATGACAGAAACCACAAAGAAATGCTTTAAAAATAGAGGTTGGAGATAATGTAGTGAGTAAGAATGCTTATTTCTCTCCCAATGGCTGGATTCAGGTCCCGGAGCTTATATAACCTCTTCTAGGATTCACAAGCACCAAATCTTAAAAAAAAAAAAAAAAAAAAAAAAAACAAACCTAGCCAGGCATTAGCGGCTCATGACTTTAAGCACTCGGGTGCCCAAGGCAGGTGACTCTGAGTTTGAGGCCAGTCTGGTCTACAGAGAGTTTCAGGACAGCCAGAGCTACACATAGAAACCCTGTTTCAAAAACAAACGACAACAACAAAAATAAAATAAAGGAATGCTGATTAGATGCAATGGACTGATGTATCTCAGGTGATGAAAAGGAGCAATGGTTAACAGCAGGTTCTAGATGGAGTAATAGTAGTCAACTAAGTCCTCTAACTGCCACACACTTAAAATGTTCATGCTAAAAGTTGAAAAATGGGATAAAAATCAGAAAGCAATGCCTTATTATCTACAGTAGTGCTTAAGTAGGACATTATTATATCTAAGACTGTGCCAGAAGATTACATGTATATGAGACTCAAAACTAAGATCTGTTAGTACTAAATGAAAATGCTTGTCTTTGATCCTATCACAGGGATTAATTCAACGATGACGAGAAGTGACAAAGAGAATTTCATGTGTATGGACTTACATTTTTTTCTCTTTCTGAGTAAGACATGGACCCATCAAGTCTGCTAAATGTGAAGTTTCTAAGCTGACAATAATCCATCAAGATGTCCAACATGCTTGTCATTTGTGAAAAAACCAGCACCTGAAATTTAAATACATCTTAATGTCTATACTGACTCATGATAAACTAAATGGTTAAAATTCTTATCAGAAATGCCCAACCTTGTGACCTCTTTTTTTAAGTTCTGGCAGCATTCGATCCAAAATCAAGAACTTCCCAGAATTTGTTACTAATTCTTCATCAATCTTAAAAGTAGACAAGAAAAAGGAAGAAAATTGTTACTTTAATGACCAATCATTTGCCATTTTAATAGTTCACTTCTTTCTTGAGACATGGTCGCCTTGACTAGCCTGACTCTCAGAAATTCACATGCCTCTCTCTCAAGTGGTAGGTGAATTGGGATTAAAGGCATGTGCTGTAACACCCAAGGGCCTTAATAGTTCAATTTTAATGACAAGTGACTATTTGGTCTTTTTAAACTGAAAGTTACTTTCCAAGAAAAAAAAAAAAGACTCTAAAGGGGGAAAATAAACCGTAACTGACTAAATTATTAAAGTCTAATTGTGAACTTATCAATGAAATATAACACTTTGTATAGCAGGTATGGTGGCACATGTCTGTAATCCAAGCACTTAGGGGACAGAAGCAGGAGGATCGAAATCCAAGGTTAGGCTCAGTTATATAGAAGGCTTGAGGCCAGTCTCAGTTAAAAAATAAAAATTGGACAGAAATCCCAACAAGCCAGCCCTTCAATGTTACACACAAAGCTGTCCTGACTTTCCATAGGTGTGCTGTGGTATACACACAACACACATATACACACTAATAGTAATAAATAATTTTTAAAGGAAATACTTTGTAGCTAAAGATCTCCTTTAGCAATTAAAAGAATATTTACTACTCTTCCAGTTCCCAGCACTTTCCAGGCTGTTCATAACCACCTATAATTCCAGTTTCAGAGGTTCCGATCTCTTCTGGCCTCCTCAGGCACATGTGCACAAAGCCACCCACAAACACACAGGTATACACATATAACTACAATATAAACACAAACTAGGCAAGGTGGTACATGCCTTGAATTCCAGCACAGACAAGCAAATACAGACAACATAAATCTCTTGTGCATTTTAGGCCAGCCTACTCTAGTACAGAGTGAGTTCCCTGGCTACAAAGTTAAAACCCTATCTCAAAAAAGGCAAAAAAAAAAAAAAAAAAAAAAAAAA